CAAAAAAAAAAAAAAAATCAATTGTAGATCAAGTATTACTAAACATGAAATTTAAGTGAAACTTAAGTGTTATTCCTATATTTTATTTTCATTTTAAAAATTCTCAAATGATATAGGATCAAAGTTGACATCAATTAATATATTAATAACACACATGTAATGCTATAATTCGGTTCTTCAATTTGGTACGGTACGAGACGGTTCGGTTCTCGGTACAGATATTTGTGAAATCTCCAGAACTGTACCAATTATTTTTTTGGTTCGGTCCGGAGAAAGTCAAATGGTTAATGATTATTTTTCGGTTCGGTTTTCAGAACAATTCGAAATTTTTCGAGTCCCATGCTGAGCCCTAGTAGGAAATTTGGTTGCTCCTCTATAAATAGTACCGCAGCTTTGAATTCTGCAGCATAACTGCAAATTAGCAACTTTAATTAGAACTCACACTATAATTTGTTTGTGCTTAGAAAGTCGCGTTTTCGTAAATGGCGATTCCAGTTATTGATTTCTCAAAGGTTGAGGGAGATGAGAGGGCCAAGACTATGGCTCAGATTGCAAATTGCTGTGAAGAGTGGGGGTTCTTTCAGGTAATTTTGATTTTTTAGTCTAATTTATAAAAAGTTCAGTTATTTTTCCAAATTACAAATGGCCCTTGTCACTATTTTTTGTTCTGATTTACAAAATTGGTACTTTTAATGGGATATTTATCAAGAAAATGAAAATCTTGTGGGTGTCTATGCAATTCTAACATTTGACCACACGATACTAGTAGAGTGAGCCGGACCTGTCAAGACCGTTGACAAGTCATACCTTTTTTTTTTTTTTTAATAAATAATCATATTTTATATTGTTTTTGAGAATATGATATTTAAGTTCGAAAGTTATGTGCATTTATTTAAAAATTATGGTCGTTATGTACTTATTCATTCTTCGTTAGTTTCTTCTCGTTGTTTACATCTTCAATAATTATTTCGACCAAATTTCTTATTAAAACTCAAATAAAATACATTCGTCATAGTTTAGTAAATTTAACTGATTACATATAAAGTTACAACTAAACGGACACGAAAATCACTTCAAAATGCACATAAAAATGACGTATGTCAGCAGCCTTACCGATCTATTAGATAATTGTGGTATCGTGTCGTGTTCTTGTTTCATAATTGCTTTCGTGTTATCTATTTATTTGAATATGATACTAACTCTAAAATGATCTATATTTTATTATTTCGTGTTTTTCGTATCGTGCCATTTATCGCTTTTTTTTTTATTTTTCTTTTTCTCTCTTCATTAGCTGATCAACCATGGAATTTCTGAGGAGCTATTGGAAAGGATGAAGAAAGTGGCATCTGAATGCTACAAGCTTGAAAGAGAGCCATTTTTCAAGAACTCAAAACCTGCGAAATTGCTCGACGAGTTATTAGAGAAAAAAAGCGACGAAAGAGTTGAAAATGTCGATTGGGAAGACGTGTTCTTGCTCTCAGATGAGAATGACAATGAGTGGCCATCAAAAACTCATGGCTTCAAGTAAAGCTCAAAACACTTCTTTTCTTTTCTTTTCTTTTCTTTTCTACCCCTTAATTTTTGTCTAAATACAAAAAGAACCACAACCACACTGGACTACATTTGGTAGATCTAGATGATAAGTTAGTTTATAGCTTTTAAGTGAATTTCGAACTTATAGATGATAGCTTATGATTTATGGTTGAAAATCTAACTTATATGATAAAAATGTTTGGTAAAACTATAGTTTATTGTATAATAATCTCATAGTACAATGCTAATAATTTTAAGCATATATATTTAACCATTTTTTTTTATTTTTCTATTTTTTGTATGATTAAATCAAAAGGGAAACCATGAAGGAATACCGGGCCGAGCTAAAGAAACTCGCGATCCGAGTAATGGAAATAATGGACGAGAATTTGGGCCTCCCGAAAGGTTACATCAACCGGGCCTTCAACGGTGGTGGGCCCGAAAACGAAAATCGGGCCTTCTTCGGGACCAAGGTGAGCCACTACCCTCCATGTCGGGCCCCCGAAAAAGTTAACGGGCTTCGGGCCCACACGGATGCTGGCGGCGTGATCCTACTCTTTCAAGATGACGAGGTAAGTGGGCTCGAGATCTTGAAAGACGGGTCGTGGGTCGAAGTCCAGCCCGTTAAAAACGCGATTGTTATAAACACGGGTGATCAAGTTGAGGTGTTGAGTAATGGGAGGTATAAGAGCGCTTGGCACCGGGTTTTGGCTAAACGGGACGGGACAAGAAGGTCGATTGCGTCTTTTTACAACCCGTCGTTTAAGGCCATAATCGAGCCGGCTAAGGAGATTATTAAGGATAAGGAGGATGATTGTTTGATTAGGTATCCTAAGTTTGTTTTTGGTGATTATATGTCTGTTTATGTTGAGCAAAAGTTTCTTCCAAAAGAGCCCAGGTTTGAAGCAGTAGTGAAAGGAATGTAAGTATAAGCAAGGGAGAAAAATAGAAGATTGTGATTTTTTTTTTTTTTTGTACTTTTTTTTGTNTGAATTTGTGCAAAAAATGTTATATTTGGCACATGTGATATTTCTTCTATATTATGTAAGTGAAGGATGAAGGAATAACTGATTAATCATTTGGTGTCAATTTTTCGATTTTACTTTTGCAAGTTTCATGTATATATTGATCATCTTTCTTGTTTAGTGTTTACTTCATATTTTTCAGTTTACTAGTTGAGGTTAAAGACTTGAAATACATATAACTCCAGTTGATGTAATTAATAACACAGTCTCTTACCGGGCGTAGCCGGAAAAAATTTCATATATGTTGTTGCTATTCGAACCGAGTTGTTCTGTAACATAGTTTGATTCAACTTGTAAAAGTTTGAGCTTGACTTTCTTGTATATTTATACAAACCAAAATCGAAAAACTAATCGAGTTTGTCTATCAAACAAGTCGAGTCGAGTGTGTTCGCGAATAATTCAGTTAGAGTTTTGGGTTTTGTTCTAGGTTTTAAGGTTTATTAGATGAATCGAACTGAGTTTATACGAGTCGAACCTAAGGTCAAATTTTTATTTGTTTATTAAACAGCTAAGCTACGACAACTCGTTTATTAAATGAGCACGAGTTCGAACTTGAAATACTCGATTCGGAAAATCTAGCTAGACACATGTTTATAGAAATCAAAGTATGAAATACTTTTTAAATTTAATATAAATTACCTGAAGCACATAGTAAATATAAAAATTATTATATTTTCTAACTAGTCGTGTTTTATATGTATGACCTCCTTGAACAAAAACTTGTGACTTTTTAACTATTTTCTTATACATATGACAAATATTTATTTTTAATTGTTTCAGCATATTTTCTTTTATTCAAAGAACTAATATAAAACGGTGTAATAGTCCCGTACTTGTTATTGTCATGTCATTTAAAGTACATATGTCATTTTGTCAGATAAATAAATGAGATTTAATAGTAAATTGCATATAATCAACGATCATTTATTTACAAAATTAAGTGAATATATAAACTTGATTATAAAATCTACAAATTCAATTACATACTAAGTATTCAAATGAAAGTCTAACATAATCAAATATTTTCTCAAATAAAATTGTTCATATAAAATCTATTTAATCAAATAGCAAAAAATAAATACAAGAATGACATAAAAGAGGCATAATAATCTAAAAAGAAAAGTGAAAAGAAACTTAAACCCTGTTTAAATATATAATTCATTGATTTAATGTAAACAAATTTGACCTATTTTGGGCCAAAATAAGATTAATACTCCGCCAACATAATGTAACGTGTGCTAAAATATTTGTTTATCAGTATAAAATTAACATAGTCCAAAAACTAAGACCGGGCTGGAGCCCATCCCAGCCTTTACGGTGGCTCCGCCCCTCTCTTGTGCTAAAATAACAAATAAATAATAAATATAGAAAATGAATAAATGAGGAACACAAGATTTTAAGTATGGAACTTCTTTAATCCTTTCTTTTTTTTTCCTTTTCACTTTATATAAACACAAAAGTTGAGATTATTTCAACCTCTAAATGGCTACAAAGAAAGAAAAGATGTCCTTACTATATAATAACATTTTTTATTGCCTCAA